GACACTCCTTCTCCGTTTTTTTCCGAGGGGAGGGGGCGGCTGAGTGACGGGCTATCTGGAACGGATAATCTTGTCTTCAAAAGTCAGGCGGATTGTTCATTCAAAATTAAAACTATTCCATTGTCAAATTAAGACGTATTACCTATCTGACGCGGCGAATAATCAAACGCATAACCAATCTCACACGAATAATCCTTCTCTAATGTGAAAACGGCTATTTCTGTTATAATGAGTGTCGTGCGTAGGCCTTGAGTTGGGCGTTCGCGTGTTTATTAGAAGTGGAATACTTTATAAAAAGTATGATCTATCAAATGTTAAAATTTTTCAAAAGAATAGCTTATTTCTTCCCGAGATGATCCGAAGACCTTCATTTTGATTTAAAGATACAAAAAAATACAAGTTAATTAATATTTAACTTTTTGAAACAAAAGAAGTTAATTTTTAACTTCTTCGTTAACCGTAACTGAAAAAAATTAACCGATAGCCGTAAAAAAGCCAAAATTTTAGCCGATAACCGTAAAAGCCACCACCCCATTGAGACCCTCTTGTACCCTCGCCGCTTTAAACATCAATTTATTAGCAGAACAAATGTTGAACGAAAGATATTCGGCAGGGTATCTAGCCTGCGTGGCCGGCGTTGAAAGGGGAAGGGGAAGGGGGAATTTGGGCGCGCGCGAGAGCGTGTGGGGCGCGGCTACAGGGTATCAGGCTCCAGTGTTCGGTCTTTTCGCTCCGCTTTCCCCGCCCCACCCCTGCTAACAAGCACCTGAAAAAACGAGTGACCTTGGGTGACCTAAGTCCTGATTTCGGCTCGGTGTACCTTGGTCGCTGTCGGTACATGATGGCGAATCAAGTGATTAGGGCTCTGTTCGTATACAGTTTGGCTTTGTTTTATGGCTTTGTGGTATGTTTTTTTTTGTTGTTGAGTGCTATTAGGAACCTTGAAATACCGAGAAGAGGGAAGCGACGAGAAAAACGTAAGTAACGATCGGTAAATTTGCACCGGTGCAAACTTGGCCTGATCGATTCATCTTGTCTGTTGTGTTTTGTATCTTAAGTTAATTCGGTCATCTTTTTGCGTTTAATAGTGCTCACTACAGCAGGGACTCTTCGAAACGTTAGCTTTAAATCAATTAATGAGAAAGCTGGCAAAATTGCTTCCCCATCCAGAGCATGTACTATTTTTAAAGCGGCACGTAGAGAAGAAAGCGAACTGTTAGCTAAGCTAAAGCTTATGTATGTAAGCTCACTTTGGGCGGCTACAAACTGGTTTTCGTAATGACCATAAAAAACCCGGTCATTATTTTTTTCTGTGATGGGTAGTTAATGGTTGTTTTATATTTTTAATACTATTCTTTATTTTCGATTCATTGACTGCCCAAAGAACTGCTATGAAGGACGCCATGCAAATAAACAAAAGTAAACACAAGTGAAATACTTTTTTACTATGCGTAACCGTGAAATGTTATTCCCTGTAATTGTACAGTGACTTCTGCTATTGCAGGATAACGTGCCAATCAATTTGAAACTTCACCATCCAACACCCCCACACGGGCAACCTCTGGGGCATTTGAACTTTTTAAAGGGACAGGTTCACGGTATTGTGCATGTGTGAGTCTGACAGTACCTGATTGTTTTTAAACCAATCGGAAGCGAGTTGGATGCACGCAGGGAAATTTACGCAGGAGTATTTCTGGACATTTGGTTCGATTTTATATGTCCCCATAATTCATATTCTTTGCTATTCCTCAGATATGTGTTGCAGCCAGTAAGAATAAAATTTACAGCCCTGTCCTGCTCCGAAACAAACATTTACCTACGTGTATTTTTATGAGGTCTTTTACATACTCACGCTAACACAGCAGTCACCAATTGGCAAACAAAATTTGTAAACAAACCTAAATAATAATTAATTAAAAATTTTTAATGCGCCTTTTCCTTGCCTTTTTCCGCCTTTTCCAAAAAACCTTTTATTACTGATCTCTCTGTTTGCCTTATATAAACCTAGAAATACCTGCAAATAGCACCTGACCGATGACAAAAACACAGCGTATGAGTATAAAGATTATCCTAAATTGAGCTTAAATTTCAATTGCTTATCAGCAAATGAAAAGATAGATCAGCTAAGCTTCTCTATCTCCAAAGACTCTTGAGAACGTCCTGTTGGTGGATGCCTGTAACGTCGCTTCCGAGACTCCATTCACAAAATTGATTTTTCGTTCCTAAACACCATTCTCCGAAATAGCAGACTTCACTCGCTTACGTAGAGCTATGGATGAGCGAATTTAAAGACAGATTCCTGGATTCCTTGGATTCGCAGTTGATGTCTTCTTCGTATTTAGTGTTGGCCTGTATGTTTTATTCTGAAAGCTGTCACGACGCACACGCGCATTACCGTAAATTCTCCACTTTAATACAGGCCTGGTCAATGCAGTGTTCAAATACCACACTACTGTGTGACAGGCGTTTGAAGGGAAAAGGGATGCAAGGAGGCCATTATTTTCATGTTATAAACATACACCAGACGAATGTTAAAATCCGAATAGGTCAGTTTTCAAAACATGCCAATCACGGCCTTGATATTTAATCCAATTGGTTGAAATTAACATCACGGCCGATCTTNGAAACAAACATTTACCTACGTGTATTTTTATGAGGTCTTTTACATACTCACGCTAACACAGCAGTCACCAATTGGCAAACAAAATTTGTAAACAAACCTAAATAATAATTAATTAAAAATTTTTAATGCGCCTTTTCCTTGCCTTTTTCCGCCTTTTCCAAAAAACCTTTTATTACTGATCTCTCTGTTTGCCTTATATAAACCTAGAAATACCTGCAAATAGCACCTGACCGATGACAAAAACACAGCGTATGAGTATAAAGATTATCCTAAATTGAGCTTAAATTTCAATTGCTTATCAGCAAATGAAAAGATAGATCAGCTAAGCTTCTCTATCTCCAAAGACTCTTGAGAACGTCCTGTTGGTGGATGCCTGTAACGTCGCTTCCGAGACTCCATTCACAAAATTGATTTTTCGTTCCTAAACACCATTCTCCAAAATAGCAGACTTCACTCGCTTACGTAGAGCTATGGATGAGCGAATTTAAAGACAGATTCCTGGATTCCTTGGATTCACAGTTGATGTCTTCTTCGTATTTAGTGTTGGCCCGTATGTTTTATTCTGAAAGCTGTCACGATGCACATGCGCATTACCGTAAATTCTCCACTTTAATACAGGCCTGGTCAATGCAGTGTTCAGATACCACACTACTGTGTGACAGGCATTTGAAGGGAAAAGGGATGCAATGAGGCAATTATTTTCATGTTATAAACATACACCAGACGAATGTTAAAATCCGAATAGGTCAGTTTTCAAAACATGCCAATCACGGCCTTGATATTTAATCCGATTGGTTGAAATTAACATCACGGCAGATCTTTCAGTAACCATTTAAAAATATGTTGTTAGTGAAGTGTAATGAGATTTCTGTACAGAATTCATGGTTAGAATTAGAAACTGAAGGCATCAATTTCAGCTTGAAAGGGGAATAGAAGAACGTCTATTATTTAAAGAACCATATAAAGGAAAAGACCTGTCAGCTAGATGAGTTTTACTGACTCTTTTTGAGAAGTCTCCCAATGGCTTGTTTTACTCACTAGAAGAAAGAAAGGAAAAATCGTGCTGCCTGTGTGATTGTTATATGCCATTTGACCACAAACGCCTGTCATATGGGCTATGCCTTATCTATGAATCTGAAGTTTAACAACAGCTAAAGGATTCTGCTTTGCATATTGTTGCTTTGTATATATGAATTATTTATGTCTTTATTTATTATTATTATTATTTTTTTAACTGGAAATATTTGATTTTATTGCTGTCCATATACCGGTATATCTTTTTATTTCATAGGTTCCCCAATTAGCTTCATAGCTAAAGTACCTGACACTTAAATAGAGTTTATTATTATCATTATTGTTATATTATTTTATAATTATTCATTAATGAAATCTTCATGGGAGTTATATGCTTGACCCGGCTTGACTGCTAAAGAGATGATGTTTTCATTTCTCTATAGCTCCTGCATGCCTTCTTGACCCTGAGCTTGGTGAACACGATTTCCTGAGAACAGCATCAAATATCAGGATCCATTATGTTGCTAAAGGAGACACAGGGAAACCACTTATGCTGTGTATACATGGGTTCCCTGAGGTAAAGTAGACATGTTGCTACTGTTTTATTATTTTTACTGTCATTGCAGCAGATGTGTTTGTAAAAGCCATTAAAAAGTTTAAATCATCCTGCTATCTGGATCTAGAAGTACAAGGGTTTGTTATTTGATCATTAAATTTTATTGATGAAGTTTACCATACCCTAAGAGAAACAAAAAACACATTGAGAGGACTCACTCCAATTTATCATTTAAAAAAATTAGAATAGAAAATAATAATAGTAATTAGTCAAAAGCAGCAGCAAAACAAAGAAGATATTCAAGGAATGCTAACAAGTGAACATACATATTTAGGTATTTTAAAATCTCTTCAATTCAGATATAAAAGACTGGACATGGCAAAATAAATCATTATTTTTCTCCAGAGATGGTAATTATAATTTGTACTGCTTTAGACACAGAAGACCATCTGTTAGTAAGGGCTAACAAGGGTAAACATGCAAATAAAAGTTGCCTGATGATTGCTTCGCAAGAGGCATGAAACTTTGAGTAGCGGGAAATGTTCCAGATTTAATCCAGTTCCATCAGTCTACTTGTACTCTATATTTTATATTTTACTACCAGCTGTAGAGCCATTTTTCATGGAAATACTGTTAAGAAACCATTATTATTATTATTATTATTAATACAAAGAAGTTAAATATATAATAATGAGTAACTTAGAAAATATTATATGCATTGAAAACCACTGGCCCTGTTTTAACATCACTTTGCAGTTTTGATATTCCTGGCAATATCAGCTGAAAGCTTTTAGTGAAAATTTCAGGATGGTTGCTATGGATTTGAGGTACTGTAAAAAGTATATAATGATTTGTAAAATACAAATTGCAAGTAGCCAAACTGTATTATGCACAGCTGCTACAACTGTAAAACATACCTGAGTAATTAAGTTACACAACAAAATGTGGGATTTTTGTCCAGTTAGCTGACTTATTTTTGACATTCTTGAGACTGACAGAAATTATAGCTCAGTCACATGGTAATTTAATTCAAAACTGTTGAATATGCCCATCCCCTATCCCATTCTCAGCAGTTTATTTTGATTTCATGAAAAACAAAATTAAAGAATTTTTAAAAAGCTAAATCTTACAGCAGTATTTTGTATTTAAGGGGCTATGGTGAACGTGACAGTCCTAAAGGGCGAGAACACTACAAGACGTCATTATTGGTTAACGACATTAAAGAAATTGTAAGTGCACTTACATGATTGTATTGCTGAAACAGCAGATTGAGTGAAGAAAATATAAAAATGTTTAATCTTCTGTATGCACCTCTTAAATTTCGTTATAAAATATTTTATAGATTCAAAGGACACTTTTAAATTAAACATCATAGTCTAGAAGATTTTGTAAAAAGATCACAAATGCAAAAAAACAAAAAAACAAAACAAAACAAAACAAAAATTAAATAAATAAAAATAATAAAATTTTTTTCTTCAATGTCTGTACAGCTTTGAGTACATGTTGTCCAATCCAGAAATAAGGGCTATGATATTTTATATTAGTATATACACACTCAGTGATCTTGGTGATTTCAGCAATCTGATTGGTTCGCTATCTTGGACTATTCAACAATATTCACCTCCTAGCAAGTGGATAATGTGTGAGCTCAGTTTTTTTCCCATTTTCTTGGAGAAAGATCTCTTAAAAGTCGTCAAAATCCTAGGGTTGACTCTTTTTCAGGTAAGAAAAGACTTCTAAGGATTCAAAATGGCGTTTTCCCATTTACTGCTGTTGAGTTTTGTGGTTGATGGATTGTTTACAACTCCCTTTTTCTGCCTAGAAGAGGCGGTTTCGTGAACTCAGCGTTTCCTAACAAGAAAAATTTGGCCCAAAAACGAAGTTTATTTGTGAAAACAAATTTGAAAGCAAATGTTTGCAGAAATTCTACGTTTCAAGTAAACACGAGAAAGAATGCTACATGAAGACGACGTCTTACCTCGAGGAACCGAATCGCCATTTTTGTCAGCACTTCATGAATGCAAAGAATGACGCAACAAACCTTTTCGGCTATAAACTTGGCGAGTCAACAGAAAACAACAAAGCTCTTCTTTTCTTCCCAGGTAAGGAAACAATTCAAACTTTTAGCGGTTCCATTTAAGTCATTACGCTGTTGTTTGTGAAGTGATAAGCTTGGGAATTGCCATGTTTAAAAATTTTACAAAGATCTATTTTTAAACTGTCACGTGTCTAGCTGACCTGATCTGTCAATCAAATCGTACTTTTTAATGGTTTCCTCTCTGATTTTGTTGAGATCACTTCGTGTGTATTTATACTAAAACAATTATTCTTTTCAATCTCGGTGAATAGTGGCTTTACGAATATTTACCTTGCCACTTCGTGGCTCGGTAAATATTTTGCCACTATTCACCCTGATTTCAAAGAATAATTGTTAATTATACTGTGTTGTGAAGGAGGTCATCAGAGTTTTCTTGCAGCTGGTAAAAGAAAATTTTTATTTTTTTTATATCAATACCCGTAATGTATAGGATTGATAATGTGAGCTCAGAAAACATATTAATACAATTTATTAATTTATTTACAGATTGAGGCACTTGATTACAAATCTTGGACTTTGCTGAGTCATGACAGGGGTGGAGCTTTGGCATGGTAAGGTGGCCACTGCACCATAATATAATCTCACGGACACTTGTCCATTAGACAGAAGTTATCAAGCCAATTCCTCTAACCCATGCTTGTGGATGTCATCTTTCTGAGTGACAGTAATTACCCTTCTTGAGAAGTGTTGATATAACCTGTCAATTCTGAACAAACAGAAGGTATACCAGGAGCTGGTATACCAGAACAAGTCTTGTAAACAAATGATTACAGGCTCTGCTGCCCTTCCCCACCCCAGTTTTCGGTATATCTTTTTATTTCATAGGTTCCCCAATTAGCTTCATAGCTAAAGTACCTGACACTTAAATAGAGTTTATTATTATCATTATTGTTATATTATTTTATAATTATTCATTAATGAAATCTTCATGGGAGTTATATGCTTGACCCGGCTTGACTGCTAAAGAGATGATGTTTTCATTTCTCTATAGCTCCTGCATGCCTTCTTGACCCTGAGCTTGGTGAACACGATTTCCTGAGAACAGCATCAAATATCAGGATCCATTATGTTGCTAAAGGAGACACAGGGAAACCACTTATGCTGTGTATACATGGGTTCCCTGAGGTAAAGTAGACATGTTGCTACTGTTTTATTATTTTTACTGTCATTGCAGCAGATGTGTTTGTAAAAGCCATTAAAAAGTTTAAATCATCCTGCTATCTGGATCTAGAAGTACAAGGGTTTGTTATTTGATCATTAAATTTTATTGATGAAGTTTACCATACCCTAAGAGAAACAAAAAACACATTGAGAGGACTCACTCCAATTTATCATTTAAAAAAATTAGAATAGAAAATAATAATAGTAATTAGTCAAAAGCAGCAGCAAAACAAAGAAGATATTCAAGGAATGCTAACAAGTGAACATACATATTTAGGTATTTTAAAATCTCTTCAATTCAGATATAAAAGACTGGACATGGCAAAATAAATCATTATTTTTCTCCAGAGATGGTAATTATAATTTGTACTGCTTTAGACACAGAAGACCATCTGTTAGTAAGGGCTAACAAGGGTAAACATGCAAATAAAAGTTGCCTGATGATTGCTTCGCAAGAGGCATGAAACTTTGAGTAGCGGGAAATGTTCCAGATTTAATCCAGTTCCATCAGTCTACTTGTACTCTATATTTTATATTTTACTACCAGCTGTAGAGCCATTTTTCATGGAAATACTGTTAAGAAACCATTATTATTATTATTATTATTAATACAAAGAAGTTAAATATATAATAATGAGTAACTTAGAAAATATTATATGCATTGAAAACCACTGGCCCTGTTTTAACATCACTTTGCAGTTTTGATATTCCTGGCAATATCAGCTGAAAGCTTTTAGTGAAAATTTCAGGATGGTTGCTATGGATTTGAGGTACTGTAAAAAGTATATAATGATTTGTAAAATACAAATTGCAAGTAGCCAAACTGTATTATGCACAGCTGCTACAACTGTAAAACATACCTGAGTAATTAAGTTACACAACAAAATGTGGGATTTTTGTCCAGTTAGCTGACTTATTTTTGACATTCTTGAGACTGACAGAAATTATAGCTCAGTCACATGGTAATTTAATTCAAAACTGTTGAATATGCCCATCCCCTATCCCATTCTCAGCAGTTTATTTTGATTTCATGAAAAACAAAATTAAAGAATTTTTAAAAAGCTAAATCTTACAGCAGTATTTTGTATTTAAGGGGCTATGGTGAACGTGACAGTCCTAAAGGGCGAGAACACTACAAGACGTCATTATTGGTTAACGACATTAAAGAAATTGTAAGTGCACTTACATGATTGTATTGCTGAAACAGCAGATTGAGTGAAGAAAATATAAAAATGTTTAATCTTCTGTATGCACCTCTTAAATTTCGTTATAAAATATTTTATAGATTCAAAGGACACTTTTAAATTAAACATCATAGTCTAGAAGATTTTGTAAAAAGATCACAAATGCAAAAAAACAAAAAAACAAAACAAAACAAAACAAAAATTAAATAAATAAAAATAATAAAATTTTTTTCTTCAATGTCTGTACAGCTTTGAGTACATGTTGTCCAATCCAGAAATAAGGGCTATGATATTTTATATTAGTATATACACACTCAGTGATCTTGGTGATTTCAGCAATCTGATTGGTTCGCTATCTTGGACTATTCAACAATATTCACCTCCTAGCAAGTGGATAATGTGTGAGCTCAGTTTTTTTCCCATTTTCTTGGAGAAAGATCTCTTAAAAGTCGTCAAAATCCTAGGGTTGACTCTTTTTCAGGTAAGAAAAGACTTCTAAGGATTCAAAATGGCGTTTTCCCATTTACTGCTGTTGAGTTTTGTGGTTGATGGATTGTTTACAACTCCCTTTTTCTGCCTAGAAGAGGCGGTTTCGTGAACTCAGCGTTTCCTAACAAGAAAAATTTGGCCCAAAAACGAAGTTTATTTGTGAAAACAAATTTGAAAGCAAATGTTTGCAGAAATTCTACGTTTCAAGTAAACACGAGAAAGAATGCTACATGAAGACGACGTCTTACCTCGAGGAACCGAATCGCCATTTTTGTCAGCACTTCATGAATGCAAAGAATGACGCAACAAACCTTTTCGGCTATAAACTTGGCGAGTCAACAGAAAACAACAAAGCTCTTCTTTTCTTCCCAGGTAAGGAAACAATTCAAACTTTTAGCGGTTCCATTTAAGTCATTACGCTGTTGTTTGTGAAGTGATAAGCTTGGGAATTGCCATGTTTAAAAATTTTACAAAGATCTATTTTTAAACTGTCACGTGTCTAGCTGACCTGATCTGTCAATCAAATCGTACTTTTTAATGGTTTCCTCTCTGATTTTGTTGAGATCACTTCGTGTGTATTTATACTAAAACAATTATTCTTTTCAATCTCGGTGAATAGTGGCTTTACGAATATTTACCTTGCCACTTCGTGGCTCGGTAAATATTTTGCCACTATTCACCCTGATTTCAAAGAATAATTGTTAATTATACTGTGTTGTGAAGGAGGTCATCAGAGTTTTCTTGCAGCTGGTAAAAGAAAATTTTTATTTTTTTTATATCAATACCCGTAATGTATAGGATTGATAATGTGAGCTCAGAAAACATATTAATACAATTTATTAATTTATTTACAGATTGAGGCACTTGATTACAAATCTTGGACTTTGCTGAGTCATGACAGGGGTGGAGCTTTGGCATGGTAAGGTGGCCACTGCACCATAATATAATCTCACGGACACTTGTCCATTAGACAGAAGTTATCAAGCCAATTCCTCTAACCCATGCTTGTGGATGTCATCTTTCTGAGTGACAGTAATTACCCTTCTTGAGAAGTGTTGATATAACCTGTCAATTCTGAACAAACAGAAGGTATACCAGGAGCTGGTATACCAGAACAAGTCTTGTAAACAAATGATTACAGGCTCTGCTGCCCTTCCCCACCCCAGTTTCCTTCTGTTTTATTTTTTCGGTTCCCGCTTTCTCAATTTTGGTGGGGAGCATTGTGTGATTTCCAGACAAAGCAGCTGTGAAGGAGACTAACATAGCCATGTGAAAGATGCTTTTTGCTCTGTTGAGAACCTGTGTCATTTTAAAGAAGAAACCCTCGTAACCCAGATTGTTGGGGTCAGGGTTGTTTAGTCAGTCCCCTCTTCTCTTGTGCTGTCCAATTCAACTGACTAAAACCAAAGGAGTGTCTTATTAATTTGATAAATCTGTCTGTGTGTGTTTTAACCTCAGGTCTTTTGCACACATGCATCCAGAGTTTGTAGACAAATTGATATTTTGCAACATCCCACAGCCAAGGTTAGTTCTAGCACCCACCAGCTCCCTTATTTGTTATGTACAGTCATTTTTACAGTCACCCACCTAATTTGGACACCTCAGCATTACAGACAGTTTGCTTTGTCCCTGGGGAAAGAAATCCCTAATATTTTCTTCAAATTCACTCCCATAAAATGGACACCCAGTTTTTAAATATGGACACTTTCTATGACCCCTCAGTGTCCATTATTGTCGGGATTTGAATGTATAGACAATATGAACTATACTGCTATATCAGGGGTTTCAATAACATTAGTTATAAGCGGCCACTGAAGGTTTAATAGGCGGTAGACCGCCGGTAACCGGCTTTTATTGAAACCCCTGGCTATATACTGGGTTTCCTGTTTCACTAATTCTCAGAAAGTAAAAAAAAAAAAATGCACTTAGTTTCCACTAAGTAAAACTCTGCAACTGCACCTTAAACTCCATAAACACTGCTTCCGTCGCACTTGACTATACAAGACCAACGTTAAACTGTCTTCGCTTGTGAAAGCTAGTTAATACCTCGTCTGGACTCATCTACTTATAAACTTACACAATAAAATTCTAGAACCTTTTTCAAATAGTCTAATCATAAAATGATTACAAAATGTATGCTGTAGAAAGGCTTATACAAGATCCTAAAATTAAAAAAAACTATGAACTCATGCAAAGCGGCGGTCGCATAGCGCGGGAAAATTCCACGACTTGTTTTCCTATGTGGCCGGTTACACAGCCGGAAGTGACGTAGAATTAACGAAACTGACTCATCACCAAGCCACTTAACGAAGCAGTAATCGAGGTGATTACGATTATCCAAAGAGAGGCTATCGTAAGTAAAATGCAACAAAGGGGATTGCTCTGGCCAATCACATGAGAGGCAGTTAATTAAATGAACCAATCAAAATACGGAGTAAAGACTTGGAGGTGGCAAGCACGGGAAAATGCTACGACTTGTTTCACTTTTAGTTGCTTGACATGTGGCCGGTCACAGCGTCGAGGCGGGAAATTTAATATTGCTGTAGGTGCGAAAAAACTTAATTACTAACTGGTTAACAAATTTTGATTATCTTGAGTGTGTTTTGCTCGTATTTGATCTCAACTTTATCTTGTGTTTGTAAAGGTGACAAAAAGAAAAGGAAGAAGTCTGGGAGTGACTCCAGTACCTCATCAAATAGCCGTTCATCGACCCCTACGATT